CGCAGATAGCCCTCGTGTAGCTTTGCACGAAATTCAAAAACAAACAAACAAACTTTCGTTAGCGGGTTCTTTTAAATGATCTGGTGAAAATAATTGCATTCTAGTCCACGTGATGAGAACAAATTACTTTATTTCCTCCTCTAACGTTTCTGCAAGCTCTTGAACAATTGTACACTGTCGTAGTTTGTTGTAAGCCTACGTACAAGTGACGTTAAATAACGTAAAACAAATCAATTTTCTTGTACAAAGTAATTCAACAAGCGCGATAGAAAACACAGATCCAAATGTTTCACGATAACACACCGAATGATTCAACTCTCATTCTTGAAATAACTTTATTATTTCCTTGACTATTCTTCAGATCACTCTCTAACTAACTTCTCGATGCGTGGAAAGTCGCATTTATATTCTACATTTGTTATAGATATATTTCCATGATTTGCTTAATCTTAGCGTCATGCGCTCTTTAGCTAAAATCTAAATTAAGCAAATTACAACATTATAAGTTTAGCTTAGAGTAGTATTTAAATGCATCGATTACTTCTCTAAATTTATTATTTTTATTAAATAATTTCTTATTCATAAATACGTTTTACTATTAACTAAGAACGAGCTCTAGAAAATACCTCAGTAAATTTAATCAGACTCAACTTTAATTTATTAAATTATTGCTAACCACACGATATTTAGAGCAAGTTGATAGTCTGCTGTTAAGCTACACGAGTTGATAAATGATCATCACTGACAGCGATAAGTTATACCTTGTGCAATTTTTAGGAATTATCGATTTTCCCTTTCTTTCTACACAGAATTTTCCCTCGTAACATACATTTTAAAAGACACGATAGGTCTCATTTTTTATAGACTACCATAACAACACCTGCTATCAACAGTGTTTTTGTAATATTAAGCTCTCACATTTAATTTTTCTTATGTTGGACAAGCCGAGATGTGAAATGTATTTACTTCAGTCACATTTACTTTCATAATCATTTTAATATTTACTCCAGTCACATTTACTTTCATAATTAATTTAATATTTACTTCATTCACATTTACTTTCATAATCATTTTAATATTTACTTCATGTCACATTTACTTTCATAATCATTTTAATATTTATTTGATGTCACATTTACTTTCATAATTAATTTAATATTTACTTCAGTCACATTTACTTTCATAATCATTTTAATATTTACTTCATTCACATTTACTTTCATAATCATTTTAATATTTACTCCAGTCACATTTACTTTCATAATCATTTTAATATTTACTTCAGTCATATTTACTTTTATAATCATTTTAATATTTAATTCATGTCGCATTTACTTTCATAATTAATTTAATATTTACTTCAGTCACATTTACTTTCATAATTAATTTAATATTTACTTCATGTCACATTTACTTTCATAATCATTTTAATATTTACTTCAGTCACATTTACTTTCATAATCATTATAATATTTACTCAGTCACATTTACTTTCATAATTAATTTAATATTTACTTCATTCACATTTACTTTCATAATAATTTTAATATTTAATTCAGTCACATTTGCTTTCATAATCATTTTAATATCTAGTTCATGTCGCATTTACACCACTCTTTGTTAACTTACTTTCCTTTTGCTTTATTCGTTTTATTAATTTAAAAACCGAACAGATTCTTGCATGGCTTGTTTGTATATTAGTTTTATACTTTAGTTTTGTATTTGTGAACTTCAGTGAAACTTAAGAGACTTGAAATTTGCACTTGAAGTTATTGTTTTAGTTTTGTTTTATGGTAGTGGTTGTTATTTAATTTTTATTATCAGTATATCATTTCCAGAGAAATGGTACCGTGTGAAGAATTTGTAGTTTTGGAAGATAACATTTGTAAACGCCATTGAGTTTAATAGTCTACTCTTTGTGTTGGGGTTGAGGAAAACGTCAGTTCGCACTGTAGCCGATGCAGTTTCAAAACTAATTACAGGGTTTCCGCCTTTAGCTATAAATATATAAAAATACAAAATTAAGCACTGATTATTATGTTTGCCAAAATGTTTAAATTTAGACTTTAAATTTAAATATTTACCACGCATGTAGATCTTATTGTAATTAATGTTTATGCATAATTTCCTGTTCTGTTATACAAGTTCAATAAAATGGAGATTCATAGAAAGGTCTCTTAAATTGACGAAAATAATGTTGAACATTGATGCTAATAATTTGAAGTGTATTTTTAAAAAATTTATAATATATATATATATATATATATATAAACTGTCTCCCCAGTGGCACAGCGGCATGTCTGTAGACTCATAACTCTATCAACCGGGTTTCGATTCCTAAATTATTCGAATCATTTCTATTTCCTCCCTTGAGACGTCAGCCATACTGCATAGCGTTAAAATACACACTCTTAATATGCATATTTTTCACTTATAAATAAAGATAAGCCTGTTTTATTTTGTAGAAAATGGTTTAATTTGAATATTTATGCATTTATTGGATTCAGTTTTCATCAGAACATAAAACATTGCCAGCTTTGTATGAGAAAATAACTTATTTATCCTGTTGATTATTATTACAAGTATCAGTAATACTTCCAATAAATTATCATCTAATATATTATCATCCAATAAATTATCATCTAATATATTACCATCCAATAAATTATCATCTAATATATTACCATCCAATAAATTATCGTCTAATATATTATCATCCAATAAATTATCATCTAATATATTATCATCCAATAAATTATCATCTAATATATTACCATCCAATAAATTATCATCTAATATATTACCATCCAATAAATTATCATCTAATATACTACCATCCAATAAATTATCATCTAATATATTATCATCCAATAAATTATCATCTAATATATTATCACCAATAAATTATCATCTAATATATTACCATCCAATAAATTATCATCTAATATATTACCATCCAATAAATTATCGTCTAATATATTATCATCCAATAAATTATCATCTAATATATTATCATCCAATAAATTATCATCTAATATATTACCATCCAATAAATTATCATCTAATATATTACCATCCAATAAATTATCATCTAATATACTACCATCCAATAAATTATCATCTAATATATTATCATCCAATAAATTATCAAGTTATTTCACCAATACCAATCTGTGACTTAAGGGGGATATATGTTGTTTTATTGATATTGTTCAAACTTGTCAGGTAAACGCACTAGTATCTAAACTGAGCTATTTCAGGATATCAAAATATGACTCAGATAGTTGTTAGAAATAAAACAATTGATTATTATCATATTAAAATATTATAAAATATTCGGCAATTTAACAAAATACATTGTGTTTGATCCACCAACAATTATTAATTCCCAATAAGCCACAAACTTTTATGTGTTATATAAAATATATATATATTTTTTTTCATTTAAGATTATGGAGGTTTAATTTTTAATAATCGTCGATGACTCGTCAATTTAACACTTGATGAGAGCTGAAATACAAAAAAAGCTATTACAAATTTAAATCAATTGCTTTTTGTACGCAGATTTTATATTTTTTCTTTTCTACAGGAAATACTGAAAAGTTTTATAATTTTCTGCATTAAAGCAAGTTTTGTTTAAAAGAAACTAAAATTTCATTTCTTAACCCTAACACTGCTCTTCTTGTTACATTTTTGATAAGAACAGTATAATTAGTCACCTTTAATTTACGTGAAGTGAACACGAACTAAGGCATGGTTTTTCTGAAGCTTTTTCAACAAAATTTACAAAAGTCTGGCTCATTTTTGTGTTTCAATATCACGAAGAATGGTTTCGAAGAAAATAATTTCAGAAGATAAAGATTAATGCATTGCAGAGCTATCACGTGTCGACAAAAATACTACCTCACACAATATATATATAAACTTCCAGAAGCTGTTATTAAGTGTAGCTGATACGTCGAAAGATTGCGATTCAAAGTATGGGGTTGCGGAAACCATCAATAATGCTTGCAAAAACGACAAAAGTCAGTATATTATTATTGCAAATACGTACGAAATTATAAAGTCGATATAACATTTTGAAAGTGTCGCTAAACAATTAAAAATAAACATGACAAAAAAAGAAGAATATGTATTGTTTTTTTGTTTTTAATTATGCACAAAGCTACACAAGGGTTATCTGTGCTCTGCCCACTACGGGTATCGAAACCCGGTTCCTAGCGTTGTAAGTCCGCAGACATACCGCTGTACCACAGGGTGGTAAGAATATGTATGAAAAATACTATAAAAAAACCTAAAATAATTGTGTTATCTAAAAAGATGACGAAATGAAAGATATGGTAATATAGAATATTACTATTAACATTTCAAGATTGAAATCAAACGGATTTCCAAAAACGCAACAACTTTTCGAATGTAAATCACCATAGTTGATAATTAGCGCATGCGTGTTATACATTTAATATCTCTAATCGATGTTGCTATCGTGAAGGAGACTAGTTATTGTTGTGTGGCTAGGTGAAGCTGTAAGAGAGAGAGAGAGAGAGTTGTGCGGGCACCTTCAACAAGCGAAGAGCGAACCCGCGAAAACACCATTCCTGTACGTGGAAACCGTATCGATCGAGCTTCCAGCTCTTCTTTAGTATCTTGATTCTATAACGTACACTCTTGTATATGACTCAATCTGCACAGATCACAGAAGAGAAACTAGTCTCCTAGTTAACTACAATTATCGAGTTACGATGTCTATACCTTGACTGAAATATTTAACCCGCATCATTTTGACAGAATAAGAAGTTATTCGCAAATTATGAATGTTGGTGAGTTAGAAAGAGGCTTAGTTTTAAAGTAAGTCAGTCTAATTTCATAGGAACTATTGCCTGCTAGAAAAGAAGTACCGTAAATTTACATGGTGGATGAGGAAATGTTTTACATTATAAGTTTAATTGTTGAAAGAAGTACCGTAAATTTACATGGTGGATGAGGAAATGTTTTACATTATAAGTTTAATTGTTGAAAGAAGTACCGTAAATTTACATGGTGGATGAGGAAATGTTTTACATTATAAGTTTAATTGTTGAAAGAAGTACCGTAAATTTACATGGTGGATGAGGAAATGTTTTACATTATAAGTTTAATTGTTTTCCATAAAACGAATGGAAATTTGAGGTTGTCTAATCAGATTGTCTGATACTTTTTGGTAACTACAAGAACTTGTTTAGTATATATATTTGTATACGATTTCGTTACATACTTTGATATATATATATATATGATTTCGTTACAAACTTTAATATATATATATATAATTTAGTTACAATATATAATATACATATATATATGATTTCGTTACATATACGTATATCTACTTTGCAAATTAACTTATCGTTGAAGAGTTTGTTTGTAATTAAGAACAAAGTTACACAATGGGCTATATGTGCTCTGCCCACCACGGATATCGAAACCCGGTTTTGTAGCATTGTAAGTTCGCAGATATATCGCCATTAGAGGGTTCGTCGAAGAGTCTCACGATAGGAGAAAGTATATCTATAAAACTAAATGCTGTCGGAACGAAACACATAATCTTAGAGTTTTAAGTGTTCGCCAGTAGAGAAGGTAAAGTCTATGATTAAGTTGAAATACTAACTGGGTTAAATAACAAACTATAACGTAATACGAGATATCAAAAAGTTACGAAGACTTAGCTGCTCACTTAATATTTTGTTTATATATATATATACTAGACTTCATTTTATAAAAATAGATGAACTTAAACTTAATAATTATAACAAAAATATATAATTGAATATTTTACGAATAACTTTACTTTTCAATTCAAAGAAAACAGAAATGTTCGTTTAAAAAAATCCAACCATCACGAAATAAGCACTCTCACTATTTAAATGTTTAAACATTGGTCTTTATGGGATACCATTTGCTATTGTGAACCGTTAAACAGTTTTATTGTTTTACTGATCCAGACGAATTTAGTTAAATCTAAATTATCTCTTTTGCAATCAACAACTCTGAAGCCTTTTAGCTTTTTTTTTTTTTTTTTTTTTTTTTTTACAGTAACTAGCCGCCAGGAAATGTTATATGTCTTAAAGGCATTGCCGGTAGGAGAGTTAATAAACGAATTCTGAATTAACCACCCCTTTTATTACACAATCGCCGAACTATCTCGGTGAGATTAAACTTAAAAAAAATTAAAACAATTAAAAAGAATTCAGTGAAATACGTAACTGAAATGCAAACGTTGATTAATCATTTTGTATCTGTTGTGAAAACCGAATTACCCTAATAAGATTCTCTTCGGATATTTAAAGAAAAGAATGTCTGCATTAATTTTTTTCTTTTTAATTTCGCCTAAGAGTAAATATTTATCCTTGTTATTTATTTCAGCATCTTTTCTTTTTTGAGATTTTTAGACAGAATGGGTTTTCTTAATTTTGTTGTAGAGGGCGAGTTATTTTTGTTTATATTTACCATCATTTGAACGCTGTACACAATTTATGACAAACGAGAAACAACCAAACTAATTTAAACCAGTGGTGTAGCCCACCAGTGGCACAGCGGCATGTTTGTTTGTTGTAGTTAAGCACAGAGCTGCACAATGGGCTATCTGTGCTCTGCCCACCACGGGTATCGAAACCCGATATCTAGCGTTGAAAGTCTGCAGACATATCGCTGGGCTACTGGGGGACTCACAGCGGTATGTCTGCGGACTTATAGCGCTAGAAACCGGGTTTCGATACCCGTGGTGGGCAGAGCACAGATAGCCCTTTGTTTAGCTTTGTGCTTAACAACAAACAAACAACAACAACTAGTGGTGTAGGAAGGAGTTGCAAAGTAGGAGTGCTTGGCTAGACATGATGATATAATTTATAGTTGTTATATAAGTCAAATAAACACCCTCTGTAAACACCCTTTGTTTTGTATAAACTTTGGTGGTTCTCATAAACCACTTAAGAGCATGAGGATTTAAACAACACGAGAGAACAGTTGTTTAAAATATATTACACACGCCCCCCCCCCCATACACACACATACACTGGCACAGCGGTATGTCCGCGGACTTATAACGCTACAAACAGAGGTTCGATACCCGTGATGGGCAGTGCAGAGATAGCCCATCGTGTAACTTTGTGCTTAACTTCAAACAAACAAACTTTTAAACCCGCACTTTACGTCAGTTGTGACTTATGTTTGAAGAAAACAACACACAACGCATAAAACAAATCAATACCGCAATTGACAGTGACATTACGTTGTTGTGATGGAACTTGAGGCTTGAGTCTGGAAATGCCATTTTGAGTGCCTGAAGTTATTGATCTTTCGGTAGTTTTAAGAATACGTAAGTATTGGGCAATGGAAATATATGATTGTTATTCTTGTTTGTATAATACATACATCTTATCCAACACATCGGGAATCACCGACTTACTAACCTAATATTCTTTCGAACATCACTCTTAGTATTTACTAAGAAGTAAATATTCATAACTTAATCATTTTTCGTCTTTTCTAGCTACACCAAACTCCTGTCAATACTGAAAAACCAGGAAGGTTGTGGAGAAAACGATTTCCCTTCGTCGAAAAGAATTGTATGAGAAATACAGAGACATAACCATGGTTATTGGAGATGAAACTGTGCACACTAGACCTAGACTTCAGTCTTTAAGGACAATAACAAAATCTAGGTCACCCCCTGCTGTTGTTATTACAGACGATTCTGATACGTTTTCTGGAATTAATCCTGCAACTTCCGACTCACTAGCAGAAGAAACACAAAACACTCCCGCTTCAACAGCCTCTAGCCCTACTATAGAGCATTCCAGTAGAATCTCAAAAATTAATGGAATCTTTCAGTCTGGATCCTTTAGTCGTGCTTCCATTGGATCCATTATGTCCTGGTCTCAGGAGGGGATTCCGGTAATTCCCAATCCACCTTCTTTTGAAAGCCAGATTGACATTCACCACCTGTCAAACAACATTCAAGGTGAGTTTCAAATTCTCAAATAACTTGCTTGTAACTTATGGTATTAAGTTTAAATAATTCAATGTATAATTTACTTATTTATGGTGTTTTCTATATTAATACAGAACATCAAATTTCTTAAATGGTAATAACTACATTGGCCTAAAATGATAGACATGATACACGAGGCTTTATATGTGACAATTCTGCTTCAGTGATTGGTAGTTTCGATAAGCATGCGAAACCTTATCAGGTGTTCTTGGGTCAAGGGCCGAAAACATCTTTCGCAGCGACGGAGCTCAACTGATGACCTGAGACAGAATAGTCATCTAAGCGTTTCTGTACTTTACCTGCTTCCCATAATTATTTCTGTTATTAATTGTAATTATTATTGTGGCCTGATATGGCCTAGTGATCAGGGCGTCCGACTCGCAATCTGAAAGTTGTGGGATCGGATCCTCGTCCCCGAATATGCTAGCCCTTTCAGCCATGGGAATGTTATAATGTGACGATCAATCCAAGTGTTCGATGGTACAAATCAGTTGAATAATTAGTGGTGTTGACTGGCTGTCTTCCCTCTAGTATGCCACTCCAAAATTAGGGACGGCTGGTGCAGATAGCCCTTGAGTATCTATGCGCAAAATTCAAAAAAAAAGAAAGAAAAATAATTATTACTGTATAATTTCTAGCGGATGTTCTGGTAGAAGTTATTATATAAAAGATTATCTGTTATAATGTTCTGTAGCCAGGATAAATGTTTCTATCATTCGAAATATGCTTTCATTTTGCTACATTTGCTTGATAATTATTTGCTGACATTTATGTTTAACTAGAGACGACTTTCAGAAAGTTTGTTTTCCGAAATTACCCATAATGTATAATTACGTAATGTTTATGTAATGTGTTTTACAAAGGAACGTTTAATCTCATTTGCCAATTTTCTGATATTACTCAAAAGATGATCTTTTTAAAATGAAAAGTTTAAATAAATTTTAGATTTGTTTGTTTTTGTTTTGAATTTCGCATAAAGCTAGTCGAGGACAACCTGCTCTAGCTGTCCCTACTTTAGCATTGATAGACTAGAGGGTTTGTTTGTTTTTGAATTTCGCGTAAAGCTACACGAGGGCTATCTGCGCTAGCCGTCCCTAATTCAGTATTGATAGATTAGAGGGAAGATAGCTAGTCAACACCACCCACCGTCAACTCTTGGGCTACTCTTTTACCAACGAATAGTGGGATTGACCGTCACATTATAACACCCCCAT